TATGTCAGCAAGGATTATTAGTAAGGACAACCGGAAATCGTAATAAACTATATAAATGAAAACATCCGCAGCAATCTATTTAATAAGTGTTTCAAGGGTATTAGAGCCACATATATCATACATACATACTATACTTTTTTCTGGGCATCGTTTTATAAGGAACCTATGCGGAAACATAAATAAAATTTTCTACTTCAATATTATAACTTACGTTTACAGAACACATTTCTTACAATTTGAAACTTCAGCCTTTAATACGATTAAATATATATAATGATTATCATTTAGTCACTGACCTTCATATTCATGGCAGCCTATATGTATATATGTATGATTATATCTACTCGTATAACACTCACTCAAAGATTTATACAAATAATATCGGCAACTACTCGTCCAGAGCCGCAAATAGTCGCAAAGATTATTTTAACTGAGCTCGAACCTGCCAAATTTTACAAAAATCGGAACTTTAGCTTATAAGTAATTTATGAAAAGAACACTAACTCTAACTGGGAGGACGGAAGATTGTTTTCGTCAATATTTACTGACCTTGTGCTTATTATGGTGTGGAGCGACCTTACTGATGTCAATGCAATGGTGCGATCATCTAATCTGCGAGTTCACTTTAACTGCACATGCAAACCCATTAGATAACTTTTCCCAAAATTTACGCAAACTTTTAATGTTCGTGTTAAATTCGATCGCCTTATATCAGGCAATTCAATTTGCCTGCAGTTTCTTTATCACGCGTAATGTTTGTCTGGCGATTTTTATAATAAAAAAAAATTAACAACGAGACGAGTGGACATTTAAAACTTTTATTTTTATTATTTCCAATGGAATCACCACTTCACAATGTATGTATCTAATARWGTTGAAAAAGTGTTTTTGGGGTCTAAAGAAATCGAAAATTTAACTCATGCCAACTCTGTTAATGACAATAACACTGAAAATGTTAAAAAAAAGTACTGTCAAATCATCGCGTTTGCATCAGAAAAATGTCGATCTTATGGATCGACTCAACACATTTTGGTTAACGTTTTAGGTATGAAGCGTGACAATGCTACACTCTTACCAAAATATTAATAATACCCAACGATTACCCTCCTCCCGCCCAACCGACGCGAAGGGCGCAATTCGTGAACGGAAATAGCCGAGTCATAAAAGGCAAGAGAGTTTTAAGCGTTGCGATCTTAAGCTGCTCAGCTAMAGAAACAAAAATTTCAACAGCCAAAATTAAGAATTAAAATTAAAGTTTATAATTTTTAAATGTTACTTGCTAAGAGTAGATAAAATAATTGTTTTAATGGTAA